CTTTCCATCAAACCAAAACCAACATTAGATTTCAAACAAAAATTTAAAAACCCACCATAAAAAGCCACAAAAAAAAAAAAAATCAAACTACCACTAAATTTTTTAATCAATTTTATTTTTACCAAAAGAATAAGAAACTACTAATGAAATTCAACCAATATTACCTTTGATGGTAAGAAAAAGATGTAAAATAAACAAATCACTTAATGAGAGAATAATAAATAATCAAACAAGATACAACAAAGTCACTACAAAGAGAAAATCAACATAAGAAAATAAAATAAAAGTTAAAAAAAAGGAAAACCTTATTGAATTTTATTAGTTGATTAGGTGGGAGAGAAAAAGGGAAAATAAAAAAAACTCCGGTGAGACCGTTTACTTCTAACAACAATCATTTTCACCGTCCCGTCATTTATTTCTACTATCAAATTTAATTCTAATAATTATTAGTTAAGTTATAGTTTGCATTTTATTTTCTCATTTAATTAAAGTAATTATTTAAAATGAAAAAAAAAAACTTTGCATTTTCAATTATGGTATAATAATATTAATTGTGGTTATATTTTTCATTAATTTTTTAATAAATCTAAATTAAAGCTTTTTAAATGTTCTTCACCTTGTATTTTCATAATAATAAGTAGACTCTCACATCTTCTTTATTTTATCTTTCTTTTTTTTTTTTTTGGGTAAAAACCTTTCTATTTAATAATAACACATGTAATGTTAAAAATGTTTAGTATACTTGTATAAACTTATCTTTCACATAAGGGGAAAACTAGAAGGCGCATCCCTTTCTTTTCTTTTGTTTTAATAGATATGTAATGGAAAATAATAATAAATATGTTAGTTTATTATATATCAAATAATTAGATGAATATGCATGTTACTCCCATTTAATTATTATTGTTGTTATTAGTATTATTATTTATCGTTATTACTATTAATATCAATTTCAAAATATGTGCTATGAAAAATAAAAATGAAGCATATTTTATTTGATTGGTGTTGATGTCTATAAAGATGAATTAACCAATGCATTATTCAAAACAAAATCTAATATTAATTATTAGAAAATCTAATTTGTTCAAATTGATTCATCATGAAAGACCAAAATGTTATGCTTAAGTGGTTTTTCCTTCAACAAATCTAAAATAATACCAATCAACTATTTATGATTAATTGATCAAGTCTCATTTTATTCAATTAAAGAAAACTGAAATTCAAATAGATATCATGCAATAACATTAATATAAATTACCTTTGATCTTCAATATGTAACTACATCTAAGCAATATTACTATCATTTACTTGTCATTTTTTGTGGAGTCCCAACACCAACTAAAACTTCAATAACATCTAGAGTTTTAATAAAAATATTTTCAATAAAAATAAATCGCATATTCTTTTAATAAAATTATATTAAAAGAAAAAAAAATACCACAAAGGAATTTCTTCTTCTTCTTCTTCTCAAGTGGATTTAGTAGGTTCAAATACAAATCTTAGGATGACTATGACTTTTTCATTAATTCAATTTTTTGACAATAGTATCAAGATGGTATTGTTATAAGAGACAATACCATATGCGTCCTTACTCTTTTCCACAAAAATTTTTTTTTCATGTAATAAACATTTCCTTTAACCAATTTATCTTTAAATCATAAGGCATTGGAACTCCAACTTACAACATGAATAAAATTTGTCTGCAAACAAAATAACTATTATTAATAGAAATCACTTAGTACCTAAAAGACCAAATGTAATAACTCATAAAATTACCTTATCATCGACCAAAACCACTTCAATAGTTAGATGATCTCTATCATGTTTCAAACTAAAAACATCCTACAATCTTCATATCCGTACTTTAATCTTTCAATTTTCTTTATGAGGTGAAAGTTAATTAAAAAATACATATTCCATATCTTTTGCAACTGATTTATTCTTAAATATTTTAGAAACTTTAGCAATAAAATATTTCAAAATAAGAGAAAAGATGTAACATAATTAGGACAAAAACATATTGGTAGTTAAAATCAAATACATACTCACAGTGTGAAAGAGCAATCTAAGCAACTATCCTTTACAACCAAAATTTGAATTTAGAAAAATCTTTAAAACAAAACAACAATTAAAAAAAAAAAGTCTCACTTACAACAACTATGAAACAGCTTGCAAAAAAAATCTTCAAAAAAATAAACGTAGGGAGTTTAAATAGTTGATCATTGACTCTTCATTTTCTTTTTGTTAGATATATTTTTTTTCTGTTTTTGAATATTTAAATGGTTTTGCCTCTTCATCTACTAAGACAAACTAATTAACTTGTCTCTTCACTTATCTTACTATTTTAAGTTTTTATTATATTTTATGTAAAATTTATGTAAATGAATATCCTATAATTAATACATAAAAAGTAGCATTTTATATAATTATATTTTTATATTTTATTATTATATTTGATGTAAATTTTATATTTTTATATAAAT